GCATATTAGAACAATTTCTGAAGGATCATGTGACACTGAAGACTTGTATAATGGATGCTGAAAATCCAGCTTTGCATCACAGGAATATAATACATATAAAAATAGAAGAAAAAAAACTAAATTGTAGTACTATTTCATAATATTACTGTATTTGTGATCAAATAAATGTAGTCCTGGTGAGCATTTGGAGACTTCTTTCAAAGCATTCAAAAATCTTGCCAACCCCAAGCTTTTGAACAGTAGTGTAAAACACAAGACAATAGAAATAGACTTGGGTCTGAATTGAGTACAGAAATGAGTACAATGATAGCTGAACGAACCAGAGGTGTTTTTTTTTATTTTAGAAATAAAGGCTTTGGATATTCATTTGAACTTCCATCTGCTCCAGTTCCTGCTTGAAACCCTCAGGCCATCATGTCTTCATTTTTATTTACCCATGAATTTACTCTGTTTATTTGTATCTTGAAGAAATGTTGTAATGCTTTTAGCATGGTTGCATATCTATTTCAAGTTGTCATCTATCAGTTAGACGAATGTCAATTTATGGCAAGAAGAAAACACATGTCTCACTTTACATGCAGAAACAGCCATTGTAAAATAATCTGGTTTCTTATTAATACGGCTGAGAAAGACCACTGTGACTGTGCTCAACATAACTGTTACAATTGGCAGCTTTGCTGACTTCAAGCATAGTGGTTACTAGAAGGTTTCTTGTCTGCGTTTGCTAGAATTTTAATTTTGTTAAGCTATAATGACAAAAACTACTGTTGAGATGTACCACTGCCTCCAAGCAAGGGAAGCCATTTCACCCAAATAGCAGTTATCTTTACTACCAATTTTGTGGTTGACCACACATAGACACACGAGCACACCCTTTTGATTATTTTGGCAAGGGTTTGCATGCCTAATATCAAAGAGCAATGGGGGAGCAGAGGGCCTCTGACTGCTTCCAGTCTTGATCCAATTTACCAAAAATGTCCACCAATCAGTTGACAAAGCAGAGTGCTTGTATCTCCAAGGAATTTCTCTAAGGAAATCAGTTACCAATGGCAGACTAGGTGTTTATGCTTTTCTATAAAAGTGTAATGTTGGATGAGTCAATTATTTTGCACCATTCCTCATGTGTAAATCCCTCTGGATTATGCTAAAGAGTTTCCTAAATTAATATTTTACACTTTAAATGTGACAATTCTAAAGCACGAAAAACTGTTCATTTGATACAGGATGGACAAAGCCTTTTAGTCATTGACAATGACAGTATTCCTAGCAGGAGCTGTTAGAAAATCAATACAATATATACACAATATATTCAGCACAATTCATTAATGGGCTGCATCACTAAGTATTTAAATAATTGGAATGGCTGGAATGATACACTCTTAGAAGAAAAGGTTCTATATGGAACCTTAAAGGGTTCTATCAGGCGCTACATATTTGGAACCCCTAAAAGGTTCTATATAGAACCCTTTTTAAGGGTTCTTTATAGCCAGGAAAAGAGTTCTATGCAGAACCTTATATGGGTTCCCATCATGGGATCATATTATGGACTTCATTTTTGTTATATTTTAATTAAATTTTATAACTTAAACAGCTCAAATAGGTAAAATTAATGGGTACTTGGGAAATATTCCACCATCACCACACTGGCAGTGAGTATCCAAACATCCAAACACTAATAAAAGTACTTTTTCTGGCCACAAAATGGAATGGGAAGACATGTTTAAAGCACTGGAACAGATTGCAGACAGAATTGAAAAGCCTTTTTTGTTTTGTGTTCTGTAGTGGAAAGAAATAACACATATTGTTCATTTATAGTACATGCATCTGGCTGCATACTCTCTTGCTTGCAGCTACCAAAATACAAGCCTTTTTTGTGATCAGTAAAGGACAAAAAGAAAGGAAAATATGTTAATAAATAATAATAACTATTATTAAAATTATTAATATATCAATAAAGAAATATATCCATACTATTGTTCTATACAATAAAACAATTAGTATGTAGTATTACTAATAAAAAATTATAATTTACAGAACAGCAGTAAAATTACAATACTAATATGCATGGCTGTTTGAATTTCCTTGCCCAGAACTTTTATTTTAGAGGAAAATCACAGGGAGACTCTAAAGCTTCTCTTTTGTTGACAACAGCTATATAAATAATTCTTATTACAAAGTTGGGAACATGGTTGTGTTGCCATGTTGCATTTTCAATTTTCAGTGACATATTTCTCAGGTCGGAAAATGCTGAAATCAGTTTAAAACAGAAAAATCACATCACTGTCAATTCAGTATTTATTTAAAAATATTGTTATTATTAATTTTATTCGTTTTGACACTATGGTTTGGAATCAGTCAGTGGTATCACTCTCTAAGTAAGGTATTATTGCAGCTGGCTGATGCCACTGGATTTTTATATAGATGAATAGCAGCGGTCACAGTAATACTTATCCAATAACGCTAAATGACAAACCAAAGCTTACCATTACAGAGTGAAATTGTGTGGGACAGGTTGGCAACACATTCCCGAACACATTACTCATTGACATTAAAAACTTACTAGCACCTAATAAGGAAAGGCATAATAACAAGTTCAGCACACCTCAGGCTGAAGCATGCCCATGAGCTAAACAACACGAGTTCTATCAGCATCTCACACAGTATGCAACACTAAAATGACAGTGGGCAACATTCAGAGAAGGTGAACCACTGAAAAACAAAGGAGCCAAATTGTGTCCAGCCTCCTCGCATTAGCAGAGCAAGACAACACAGCGAACACCATGCTGACAGGACAGGTCACAGCGATCCAGCAGTTTAGCTGTGGATTCACGTTAAGGAAGGCAAGCGAGGGGTGGGGGAGTGGGTTGTTTGTCCCACAGCAATGACAACCCAATGAGACTGAAGCCTACAGGGGGTGACAACAAAAATGCAGCTATATTCTCCTCATTCTAACTGGATGCATTTCACAGACTTGCTAGGCATAATGAGATGGAAGATATGTTGCAAATAGTTGTATAGTATTGTGATGCATGGTGTTCTAAAACTAAAATCAGCTGGTGGAAATGAAAATCAGCAAACAATCGTACTATATATATGTGTGTGTGTGTTTTAAAAGTCTGTGGTCAGTAGTTTAATGTTTTTATTACGTAATGACATTTAATTGATGTGTTAAGGTATTTACGGTAAATAAATGTATTTTGTTCACATAAATGCTATTCTTTCTATTCATGAATGAATCTAAGAAAAATCATGTATCATGGTTCACACAAAATATTAATGCCACTGTTTTCAACATTTATGATAAAAAGAAATGTGTTTTGAGCAGCAAATCAGCATGTTAGAATGATTTCTGAAGGAAAATTCTGCTTTGCAATCAAATGAATAACTTACATTTTAAAACATATTAAAAAAGAAAACAGTTATTTTAAATTGTAATAATATTTTACAATATTACTGTTGTGTCTACTGTGTTTTTGATCAAATAAACACAGCTTTGGTGAGCATTAAGAGCATTCTTTAAAAAAACACTTGTACATATGTACATGTAAATAATTAAATATACAGTATATACTGTATAAATGTGTTTGTCTATAATTAATATTCAAGTATAGATGCTGATGCATGTGTGTTGTGTCAGTGAATAAGCATAGCACAAACGATGATAAATGTGTGTGGCAAATGAAAGATATTTCATCATTCTGCAGTAATTTGTGTAATTGAACAATATTAAAGTATTAACAAGATAATCAATAAGCAACAGACATATTTCAGATACAGTCTATGTGGATAAATGTTGCATGTGAATTTGAGCATAAGGGTGTCTGCTGGCATTTATTCTTGACTGGGACTGAATGTGAAGTGAACCGTGTGTGAATTGTAAGTGTTTTTGATTAAGTCAGAGCTGTCACACTGTAAAGGTGAAGCTATAACTCTTCTTTTATAATGACTGAACTGTGGACTGATGTTTTCAGTTAATTGTCTCAGCCATCCTGTTTCTATCTATCATTGATACGCTCCTTCAATCTGTCTCTTTCATTCTTTTCTTTTCTTCAAATATCCAGTGCCTTCCCCTTCCTCTCCCAATCAGTCTGAAGTACTGCCCTGTCCTTCTCTCAACTTATGTCATTCTGAACTTTTTTCTCTTTTTTTTACTTATCTGTCATTCTGAACCATTATTTCAAAATCAGTCATATTCTGATGCTATGATACTAGCCATCTGGCTCATCCTTAGTGAAAGTTTGAAAGCAAAGATCATCAATGAATACAACATCCTCACACACAGTCAAATTTACACTCTAAAAATACTATATTAAATTTACGAAAATCTGGGGCCGCCAGTAATCTTTGCAGGATAAGAGGTAGACTGGTACATCAACATTATATAATGTAATTAAATACATGGTAAGTTATCAAATATACAGGCACCAATATGCCATGCAATAATGTCAGAATTATTGTCACTATTTTTTTTTTCTGGTGAATTTTTCCCAGTTGCAGCTATTTTTTATTTATTTATTTTTTATTGTAAATTTAAAAGAGCCAAAGTCAGCTTTTAACCTTAAAATGTACTGATAAACACTGTAATAATGCAAATGGTAGAGTAGAAAGTCACATAACTACAAACTGTTATACAACAGCAATTTCTGGTTTGATTAAAAATCTGATTTGCTGAGAGCCGTTTCCAGAGGTGTGATATTCTAGTGATAACAGAACTTTCCATTTCACCGTTTGAAACTTTACATTTTAAATATATACAACAGAAGACACCACAGAGGCAGGTTATGCATGTGTGTGTGTGTGTGTGTGTGTGTGTGTGTGTGTGTGTGTGTGTGAGAGAAAGACAGCCTGTGTGTGAACTCTTAGTTAACTTTAACCATTTGTTATTTCTGTCACTGATTTGTCTGAGGTAGAATGCAATCTGCGGATGTCAGTATCCTCGATTCTGCCTCCACACATGCACATTCACGCCATCCGCTCAATCCCCTTCGATCGGCTCCAACATGAGCATCCTCTGTGACTGCTTCGCTCTGTTGACCACCATTGATGCTTCATTGGCCTGTGGTTTCCATGGTAACTGTCTCAAGGCCTTTGTTGGTATTGGTGGGAGGGAATGTGAAGTGTCAAGGGCAATATATCTAGGACTGCTGGAAACCAGTTAGACACTTGGACCCAGAGGTGACTCCTTCCAGGGGTTGCAAGAGCAAATCCATGGCTGATGGCTTTCTCTAGTAGGGATGTTTCTGCCTAGACCAGGGTTTCAGGCTGAGAGAGCGAGAGAGAGAGAGAGATGTTGCTGGAAGCTTGGTTCTTTCTGCTGAGAAGGAGCTTGGTAATTGGAGGTTCGCAGTTTACCTACTGCTCCTGGGAGCAAAGGTGGGATGTGCACTCTTGACTTCACAATTCTGCATAGTCAGGAAGGCCCACCGACAAGACACACAATGCTTATAGCCAGAGGCTTTTACACAGATGCAGAATTTGCTGACAGTTTCAGAAGCAACATCAGTGTTGGTTAAGGCCATTCCACACCAAGCTGACATCAAAGAACTAGTGGCGACAAAAGCCGACTGTGTTGTTGCCTGTGTCTGGGCCAAAAAGATTGCGCTTGAACACACCGCAAACACAGCCAGTGGCCAACTAGCACAGAGGTTCTGCAACTGCATTAGAGGAAATAATATCCATACCAGCAGGTGGCAGTAATTTGTATTTGTCATTCAAAAAGGGAAAACCAGACTGCAGATATACAAACCGTAAACAAAGTGCGGCTTGCTTACAATTCTGAATATGAATCATGTTGTAGTCTTCACTTTCTTCATAGCAGTCAAAAATAGTCGCTTACTGAAATTCCCAGATACATTTAAAAGATCCTTCTGTACGTGCACAGACATTTTGAGGGGCAGTGGCCGAAATCACTGGGGGTGGGGCAGTTATTGCTCAGCCATATATGTACAGTATATGTATATGTTTATGTATGTATGCATATGTATATACATATATATACAGCAATGTAATTATATCATATAATTAAAAAAGACACCTGACGAAACTTGACAAATTTCTGGACCTTTATAAGTAAACAGCCAAGTGAACAAAACTACAAAAATGAAATGTGCACTGTTTTTATTTTATTTTATTTTATTTACATTTTTTACATGATTCCCAATTTTTATATTCATGATTTCTAGTATTTGTACAGGTTTTACGTTTTTATTTCAATGTTGTAATTAGCAATTCATGTAATTTTATCTTTGAAGCAGATTTGTTATGTGACAGCATGTGTCAGCATATTAATTCAAGTTTCTTAAGGGTCAAGATCAAGTTATCTGCGTCTCCTGCGCTCCATCAAGCCACTCCCATAATAGCTGTCAGCACTCAATTAATGCGTGACTCAGATTAACTGTATTGCATGTAAGACTCGAATACAATTATAAAGTAATTATTTTATCACGAATAAATCTTTTAATGAGTAAAACTGTCTGTGACTATAGTATTATAGATTACACAACATTATAATATTATTTTCAAATTAATTTTTAAATTATTACAATTTTAAATGATTGTCCCCGGATTAGTAGGGTACTCTTGTAATAAGGTAGCAGTGACTGTGACAGATTTTAAGTATCGATTCCACTTAAAAAGATGCAATCTAATCCTGTTTACATGAAATAAGCCGCTCCCGAGCAGGTTTAAGTTTACGGACCCGTTGCTATGACAGCAAGTCCAGGATGAGCTTCGAAGAACCAAATAATCCAAGATCATGCCAAATTGTCAACAATCAAATCCAGCTAACTGAGTTAGTGACGTGAACGGGCCTCAGGTGATATTCCAAAATATATTATTGAGTGTTTACGTACCATATGATGTGGCCTGTAGTTTATTCGTTTGAAAAATAACTCATCGCTGTCAGTGAATGGCAGATTCAGATCCCAGTAGCTTTATTGGCATGATAAAAAGGTTTTACATTGCCAAAGCAATGATAGCGCTCTCATCCAGTGCTCTTGAGCATTATCAAATTTACAGGCTGCAATGGGCAGCGAATCAGACAGTGATTGACAACACTCTGATCCAATGGCATTAGGCATTGTCAGATTGACAGTACTCTAGCCCAATGGTGTTGGGAGGGCACCGGGTGGCCAATCATGTTCAGTGGGGGTGGGGGTGCTGGGGGGTTCAAGAGGGGCACCTCAGCCAATGAGGGCAGAGGGCAGTGGCTCTAGCCACCGGGCCACCCCCCTGTGTACGGCCCTGGTAAGGACATCATTAAAATAGTCCATGTGACACCAGACTGACACAGAAGAGAAGAAATTGTTGAATAAAGTAATTCTTTGCAAACAAAAAGTATCCTCGTAGCTTCATAAAATTAAGGTTGAACCACTGATATCACATGGACTATTTTAACGATGTCGTTACTACCTTTCTGGGTCTTAAACGTGTCAGTTGCTTTACTGTCTATGCAGGGTCATAAAGATCTCGGATTTCATCAAAAATATCTTTATTTGTGTTTTAGGAGATGAGCAAAGGTCTTGCAGGTGTAGCGAATCAGCTCATGGGGAAATATGAATAATTAACCATAACTAGTTATAATTAACTATTCATATTTTAGATCCACTGTAGATATTTAGCTGACCACTCAGGGTCAACCGTCTTGTCAATTCTAAGAACGTTAATTTCCTGGTTAAAGGAAATAACTTTCTTACTGCACAATTCTATAAATTGGCCATTTGGTTAGGTGATGGGGAGTTCGATATTATTTGTTAAATATAACAAAAAGTTGTGTGTCTGATTGGTCCAAATGCTACACAGGTTATATATAAGATATTATATATTATATAAAAATATCAAATATTTGGTTGGGGAGTTGTATCTTTGGCCATATAATGGGGGTACTTGTCCCCCCTTGGTGTGTCATGGTCGTTAGTTTCGAATATAATCCACAACCTTGTTGAAATGTGTCACAGGCTTTCTACTCATTCCTTTTTTATAATGCACTTCTCTACTGGGGATCAGACAAGTAAACAAACTACATTATTAAGGTTTCAGATGTTTATGTCAGTTTTTTTATGGAGTGCAAATATAAAATTGTTTAACAAAATCCAGTATATTGACCCCAGATGTGGAAAGATGTCAAGGGTGGTCTTCCTTGTTGACTGCAGACTATGATTATTCTATGCCGTTGGCTTTGAAATAAAGATAGAAAGCAAACCATCTTCATTCTCTATGCTGCTTCAACCAAATAAACTCTAGAGCCCCCTCAAGTTTGATTCACTTCTGCTTTGTTCTAAACTGGGCTAGTTTTACTTAGTCTCAAAGCTTTGAAACATCATTAGAAAAATGAGAAAGAGGAAACCGGCGGAGAATAACTTGCAACAAAGCGCTCAGAGGAATGTCAGTGTCAACAGCGGTGAGCAAAGCTGATCTGTGCTGAGCAAAGCAGCCTCTGAGTTGTGAATGTGTGTGGATATGTGTGTGTGTTTGTGGGATGGAGCAGCGAGTGTCAGTAATTTTGCGTCACATGCTTTTAATCCTAATCTTACTGCCTGACCTCTGACCTATGTTCATCAGAAACTTAATGAGTGCTCCAGTAGACAGAAACAAGCATTTCTGTAGATACACTCTTGTCACATTACTTGATACACAACTGGCCGAAATGTCACAGATTACATTATATGAAGCCAGATCATGGTTCACGCTCAGTTCAGCGCACTGACATTACATTAACACCCACACACTGAACAGAAGTACACTAGATGAATAAATTCATAAATGTTATATGTGTTCTATTCATTTTTAAAAGTATATTTAAAATGTTTATTAATAATAATATTTTAAATAATATTTTTTTATAATTTTATTTCACTGAGATTTTTAACATTTAATTTACCACATTGAATTTTATGATTAATATCCCCACCAGAAACTGGGTAGGCATACACTGGACAGGAAAGAGAGTAGAGAGGGAGTAGAAAGGAATATGTCTCAGTGCTTTGCAACAGCCAAGAAACATAATACATTTAACATTTAGGCACATTATAAACAAGATTCTTGTCATCGTCATGTTCTTTATCAAGAGAAATAGTGCCTGACAAAATTATTGTCTTTCAGTCATTACTAAAGAAAAATATGGCAGCACAGTTTTCCTTTGTGTATCACAATATGAAATTTTCTTTAGGGAGTTCAACAGCATTACTTGCACACCAACTGTTTATGTTGCATATTAGCCATGTATGATCATTAAATGCAATAAATCAGCACAGACTAGTATATAACACTCTTATAATATCTCTGTCTCTTCTGCTTGGTATTATACTGGTAGCATTAAGGGAATTCAGTAAATCTCATTCATGGGCAGCTGTTTCAAATCTGAATGTACAGACCTAAATATATCTGTATTCTCATCATTAATATGTTGGAGTGAACATAAAACTGCTTATTATACAGCCTTGTCTAATGCCCCAAATGGAAAACCTGAATATTTGATGTCAGATGACATTAGTATTGTATGGGATGATATTAGACTCTAAATGATTAATAGACGCACCCACAATTATCCATGTACTGTTGCCTCTTACATTTGTAGCATTGGTGACTGTCGTGGCTGATTTGCTCAAATCTGCCCCCCATTTTTATCTCTCTCTCTTTTTATTCCTCAGTTTGGTAGCGTCAAAAAAAACAGAAAACCCTCAAGGAGAAAAAGCATCATCACCCTCTGACTTCCTTGACAAGCTCATGGGAAGAACCTCAGGTTACGATGCCAGAATTAGGCCCAACTTTAAAGGTAGTACAAACAAACCTTACCTTTTACTCTGTTTCTCCTTGAAGGAATACATTGTGCTGTCTTTAATGGTTATTTACCACTACTTCTTGTTTTTTGATTTGATGTCTTTAAAACCTTTAGTTACAGTGATCATTGGTGTCTATAAGATTCATATTTCATACGTTACAAAGCTAATGCAGATGTGACTCTATATTCAGTTTCATGCTATGAAATGATTATGTAATAATGCTTCACATCTCCTGGTTCCAGCTGCCTCTAGACGTTTCTGCAATGACTCTGAAAGCATTCATTCATTATGCTGTTACAGAATGGCCCTGAACCCAAACCATCTCAAACTATAAATCAGCCTGAGCTTTCTTAAATTATTAGCTGGCAAAGGACTTCCCCTCGGAAGCTCATTTACAGAAGCCACTAATTCATAAATGTCAAGTAAATGAGTTCGAAAATATATTTAAAAAAAAACTGGTGTAGGGGTGTTACAAACAGATGTATAATAAAGCAATACATTTATGTACTAAGTTCATTGTACACATCAATATTGTAAGTAAAAAGAAAAAAAAGCAGAGTGAAGCAGATCAAATAACCCAAATTTCGTAACTTTTCCTCCTCCATTAATGAACCATTAGGAAGCCATGCAATATTACTCTGTCTCGTTTAGTCTTGACATCATTTTGTTGTAATCTCAACAAAGCATTTTATTGATATCTTAATTTAAAAAAAAAAAGGTTATATTAAAGCAGACAAGTATTAAATAGCTCATGTGTATTCACACATACATAATCATGAACCAGTGAGTCTAATAGAAAGTATCTTTGTAGAGACTATACTGTATTATGATTGATTTCACGCTTCTCTCCACAGGTCCGCCTGTGAATGTAACATGCAACATATTCATTAACAGTTTTGGCTCCATTGCAGAGACAACTATGGTATGTATTCCTAATCCAGCAATGATGCATGCGTTTTCATGCACAAATGCCCTATGGCAGTGTTTACCCAATATAAAGCTTAATTATTATATTAGCACTGTGTTGATTGTATCCACAGGGTGCAATTAATGCACTAATAGTCTGTCATTATAATTCACAGTTCAGACTTAATGGAAACAGTATATAGCACACTCTCAAAATTGTGTGTTTTGTATTGAGGGAGCATTTCTTCTTGAGTGCATGTCGTATTACATCTAATTCCAGATTGTGAGAAAGACTGTAGGAGGAAGTCCACCGGGGTCTTAAGTCATGAGGGGTGCAAACTTGCTTCCATCACCAGGCTTCTAGGAAGTCATTTTGTGAGACAAAGTTGGGAGGGCTTTAGACACTTTGGACCGCTTTAGACCCATTTCGCCTGTCATGTCAGCCTTCTGCAATTAACTTGAGCTTTCAGTACCCTAAAATGTTATTTTGTCTTCATGTTTGCTAAAAAGCAGTTGCAATGAGCTATCTGTATTCATTTCATTCTGAATCTTCCTGTTACATCATCAAAAAAAATGTGTTTTGTTACAGTAGCATTCTTTTCTGAAGTCAGACCTAGATCCAGTTATACAGTTACGCTGTGGATTCTTTGCTAAACTAGCCGCCATTCAAAGCAGATTTTGCAAACAGACCTTTACAGAGAGATATGGACCCAGCAAAAATGCAACAACATGTAAGGGTGTTAATTCTAAAGCCTAATCTGTGATCAGTGACTTTTGAAATGTAAGGAGTCATGTACAGTCAGACATTCATTTATTGCCATTTATGCATCAGTAAATTAAGCCAGTGACTAAACGGTCAACTTCACACTACTCCTCTTAGTACCATGGAAATCAACTGTTATTTAAATTGTGATTAAATTATATACAGAAAGTGAGCAAAAATAATCACTGGAGCTGTCAATCATACAGTACTGACTGCATTCTGCACTCTAACCAAAATGTGTTATCATCAATGGTGCTGTACACAGCTCAATGATTCTCTTCTTGACATTGTATTTGTACTGTGTTATTTATAATGTGCATTCATCAGAGTGTAGACATTACTGTGATTGGCTACAATGCTCAATGCTGCAACCTTTTATGCAACAGGAGAAGATCTAAATATATAATTATGATGAACATTATCATCTTAAAGAAAACTTTCAAAAGAATTCCACTTGTAATACTTATCTTATCTAAAAACAAACCAACCCATTTAAACAGTGTTCAAATCAGAGGGCTAAAATCACAGAAGATTTTTATTTCTAAAGTTTTTTAGATATATATATATATAAATATATATATAAACACATTATAAACGCATGTCAGGAATAAATAAATCCTTTAAAAATGTTGTTTAAACCCATGAGCTAAATTAAGTATGTGAGTTTACACATTTTATTTGCAAAAAATGTTTTTAAATATATTTTTTTCAAGGTAAATATCATTATTACGAAAAGTATGCCAATTTACAACCTAAACTAACCTGGCCTTTGGCAGACAAAAGTTTAAATATTACTAATCAATTTGTATATATAACAATTTTTATGATATATCAAATGTATCTTTGTTTATTACATTTTTGTTTTCAAGAATGTAGCGGTAACACTTTACAATAAGGTTCATTAGTTAAACATTAGTTAATATATTAACTAACATGAACTAACCATGAGCAATACATTTGTTACTGTATTTACTAATCTACGCTAATGTTAGTTAATAAAAATACAGATGTTCATGTTAGTTCACAGTGCATTAACCAATGTTAACAAGATTTTAATAATGTATTAGTAAATGTTGAAATTAACATTAACAAAGATTAATAAACGCTGTATAAGTGCAGTTCATTATTAGTTCATGTTAACTAATGTAGTTAACTAATGAACCTTATTGTAAAGTGTTACCTAGTAACTGTAGCAGAATTAAATTGGCATCAACCAATCTGTTCGTCCAGTGAACATTCAGTGTAAGTTCATATCAACTCTAGGAAATAAATATTTCCGTGGTCACAGAAAATACTTCCAGTATTAATGCATTAGAGCATGTAGTAAGGATCAAAATCGTAAAGGGACAATTAATTTGCAAGGCAGAATCAGAAACTCATGTAAAAGAGTTTTATTAACTAAACACTAACGCAAACTAGTCTAACAAACAAACAATCACTCATACAGGGGAAAGGGCAAATGAGACTTGATGGATGAAACCATCAGGAAAACCAGAGAATGAAGCTATGAAAAGAGTCAGTTAACCACCTGAGTGAAACCATCAGTGCCATTTTAGAACGGGGTCTACAGCTTATACTAAACCTGTGTTTCGTTTAGTTAAATGTACGATACTTGCATTGCCTTGGCCTGGAATGAGCGTACGGATACGGTTCGGTGGTGTAGGAGCCGTGATCACCTTCTTCCGGGTTTGAAGAGTGATGAACTCCAAAGATGTTCTGACTCAATGGTGATTGGGAGTTTCTTCTCAGTGCAAAGTGAAAAAGAGCTAAGAGAGACATCAGCTGAGATCCTAGGATCTTTGGTAAATGGAAAGTCAAGGCCCGAGGCCTGGAGCAGACTTGGGTGTCCTTAGAGGGGTGCTAGCTCACATCCTCATCTTCTCAGAATCTAACAGAACCGCAGACTGACTGGTTATGTGTTGCAGCCCACCGGGCACGCCCGCACCGGCTCCGGCTCTCCACAAGGGCCACAATCAGAAGATTTTAGCAGAAGACTTAGCAGAAAAAGAACAACATGGGTGGAGCTGTGCGTGAGCCTTTTAAGGTCTGAGAAGATTCACGCCTCTCAGGATGGACTTGTCCAATGAGAAAGGCTAAAATTCCAAGCGGCAGTTTGGAAATACTGGGGAGTTTTATGACCCTTTGTGTGAGAGCATGGTAATTTGCATATGGAATTCAATTGTGTGTTGAAGCAAAATTACTAAAGATTCTTGGAACACTAATAATATAATATACACTCTCGTATAGATCATCAGAAGACAAATTCAAAGCGACCAAACATGGTATCGGTGGGGTTATATTAACTAGTGATCTATCATAACACACACACAAAACAGTATACAATTCAAAAGACAATATTCAAGAAGAGTAATGGTATACACAATGTCCTGAGGAGATGTGTGTTCATTCACAGAAAGGTTTTTCTATGAATTAATTAGAGAAGAGTCCATTTTTATGGGCATTGTGTGTCTTTCCTAAGGGTAAATTAATTGTGAGTTTCTCTGCCCGCATTCCTTTGGGCAATAAAACCAGTGATATCAGCATTGGTTGCCATGGAACCAGAGGCCTGTTCTGCCTTTCTGAGGTGTTAAATGCATTTCGGGGGAAGGGTCCATAGACCCTCATAGTTGGATTGTTGACTGAGGGGTGTTACAGAGTATTTGTTAAATATAACTAAAAAGAGTGTGTGTCTGATTGGTCCAGACGCTACAAGAATTTCAAGACAAATAGAAATCGAGAAGAGCTGGAGACAACAGTGTGGGTTAACAACAACCCTTGGGATGAATTACATCAGGAAAAGAAAAGGGAGAATGGTTCAGATAAGAGTTCATGCTGAAAAAAGCATCCCAGCCTCGGATGTATAGGGACTGTGTTGCTTGTATTCAGGGAGCCATATCTTGAAACCTCCAGGTAATCAGCAAGTGAGAGGCAGAAAGCAGTTATTGTTCTTACTTGTGCAGTTCATCCCTACAGGGATATTGTTTGTCCATTATATGCCACCACGGCTGAATTGAAACAGGCTCCGTGTGTACTTAGCAATGGAACACTGTTAATGTTGCGTATTATTTATTTATTTTTCTTTTTGATGTTTGATCCCATCTTACTCTGCAGACAGCCAAACAAACACACATTTGGGATTACACGCCATTACAACCCAGATCTATACACAGGAAGAAGGAGATGTGCTTTTAGCTTATCTACACAAGTGTCCCAACATTGCTGTCTGTGAACGCAAATGCTCATCACACACACACACACACACACACACACTGCGAGTGCCTTGTCGCCTTCATCCCTCAGCTTGCTCTGAATAAGTTATGCGCTGTGAGATGGCACACTCACTCTGAAGTAATTATGTCTGAAGAGACTGCTTTTCCTAAAGCTTTTTCCTCACCCTGAGTGGACTTCTCTTCATAAATATTCCTTCCTTCAAGCAGGGTACAAGTCTCTTGTCATTTACTCAAATCAACAACTGTTCTTTATGATCCAGGGTACAGCTGGGCTTTAAGAAATAATTTCTCCATAAACCTAATTGGCATGACACTACTTTTTGGTCTGGATTCATTAAGCTATTGAAAAATACATTTAAAAAGCAACTCATGCAGACTCTGACTTGAATGCACCTCTTTTGTAATGGACATGTTTCTGGGATGAAAACTTTTGTATGTCAGTGAAATGTTTTTTCATCAACATGCAGGAAGCCATTTTGGTGTCAAGTGACAAGAAAACTATAAAACAAGAAGTGATATGAAATACAGAAATGACCCTGTAGACCAGTGCTTCTCAAAGTCCGGACTCCGGTCCAGATCCGGACCCGGAGGGAATTCAGTCCAGACCCGCCCTAATTTCATATTTCAAGAACACTAATTATTTCCTACTTTGATAAACGCATGTTAAACTTGTAAATCAAATGTTTAGTTTTTTAACGTATTTTTGGAGATGGTCCGAAATGAAAGCGAAGGCGAGATATTGAAACTTTTCCTTCATAACATTTGTTGTCATGACATCCAGTGAGTGTATGACGTTTAACGTTTGACATAATCGGACGACATTTCACCACTAATCGAGTAATTTTTTATTTTTATATGAATGTATAATTGAAAAGAACCGACCGTCTTCAGAAAAGCTTTGATGTCATTTTCATTTCGTCTTTCCTAGCGTTTTGTATTAGATTACAGCCGTTACCGGGGAAACCGCTATATCTCGGCTCCAACAGAGCCTCCTGCTGGCAGAGAACGAATTTGCATTTGCAAGTCTGTGGGAAACACTGGTGTCTGTCAACAAACATAAACAAAAAGCATGCTTCAGAACTGTTTTGAGAAGGTGCTTTGAGCCATGTATTATTACTATGAATTAGGCTACTACTACTACTACTACTATTACCATCCTGTGCCCTGCAATAATCATTTACTCAAACTCGCTTTTATGAGATGAAGAAGGAAAAAAACAATCGGCCAAACATATCGGCCAAACAAATCAGCATCATATATCGGCCATCAGCTGCCCTGATTTCTAAATATCAGCATCGGCATCGGCCAGTGAAAAACCCATATCGGTCGACCTCTACTATGATTGTGTCCTTAAGAAGATGGTGGAATTCTCCTGTGTTTAGTTTTGCAGTGGCTTGAAAGGCAGTATCAGTGTTTCACTTAAGCTACTTTCATTTGTGCCGCTGTCATAGTTGATACGAGCAGTTGTCTTTTAAGGGTAAGAGCCCTCAGTAGAGGTTCTGGTGAATATTAGATGAAACATAGAAGGTACAAGGCAAACACAAGCTCAGATCGGCCATCAGCTGCCCTGATTTCTAAATATCAGCATCGGCCAGAGAACAACCCTTATCGGTCGACCTCTATTGCGGACACTTAAATTAATTGTTTTTCCACTTTTGCACTATATTTATTTTTTTTAAATAATGTTTATTTGTTATGCATGTTATGTATGTTTATTAAAAACAAGTTTTGTAATAACCAATTGTTCCGGTCCGGACCTTTGACTGAAAATTCAGATTTGGACCTTTGAATGTAGACTTTGAGAACCCCTGCTGTAGACTCTCATGTGTATGAGAAGGTCAGTAAGTAGAAATATCAGATTATTGTTTAATGACATGAAAAGTTTAGTTCAGGTTATCAAATTTGAGAAGGAATAACATTAGTAATACTTAATTTTAGTAAACAAAATATAATTTTAATATAGAAGTAAATAATTATTGGTCACTTTATTTTAAGGTCTAATTCTTACTATTAACTATGACTTTTGCCTCCATAAACTCCTAATTACTCCTTATGAATAATTCAATTTAGGTTAGGATTAAGGGATATAGAATTGTTAGTAATGTGCATGCTAAGAAGCATCTAATCTAAAGTGTTACCTAATTATTTAATAATAATAATAATAAAACAGTTAAGTCTATTACATTGTTATGAAAATAATAAGGAAAATGAGAAGGATCGTCTCGGTTACGTATGTAACCCTCGTTCCCTAAAGGAGGAAACGGAGACATCACGTCTGATGACCGACAAATAGGGATCACACTTAGAGAGACCAATCCACTTTGAGTGTGAACTAAACGAGCCAATGCACATTGGCATGCAATTATTGCATCCAGCTGCCGCTGATCACAGCGTGAGTATAAGTAGGCAGCAGGCGCAGCACATATTCAGGTTTTCGCTGAGGAGCCGAGCCTGTGACCCCGCAGCATTAGGGTCATGGGATAATCCTAACATCCAGGAACAAAGGACACTGCATTAACAGAACATAATTCTGGACAATCCTCAGTTCCCAGACAGCTGACATTCATATGTCACTTTCTGTAAACTGTTCTCCAAAATGAAAGGAAATCAAAGGACAGGAACATCTAGACACCTGAGGACAACGTGTGACTGAATTGCCAAACATTTCAAACTTGGGATTGTTTTAAAAAGAGTCATTTTCTCATGTATTATCTTGTCTGATTATGAGGTTGTGAAGGTCTAACCTCGAGTAGCTGCGGTTTCAAAACATAATTTTAAGGTGTTGTTGTTGAACACATCTACATACAGTATGATTATTCTTTGTAATCCTGACACATTTGCCCGTCCATGTGCAGGAAATCCAACATATTAAGATCTGAGCAGCCCAGTTCTGTACACCAACTGATAAGAACGATAATCTCAAGATTATCTGCGGCTTCATAAAGTGGAGTTACGATGGTGTAATTTGCCATTTAATCAACTCGAGACCAAAATATGTTTTTAATTCCGTCTCCACATTGAAGACTGGTTTTGCATGTCTGGACTGGTGCGAAACTTGATTTTTACTTGTGAATGGCACACATTTTTTCACTATTGCTCATTTTGGCGAATGCTGACAACATGTAGGCTTAGAGTTGCCAATGGTTATGCTGACAACATGCAGGTTCAGTGTTTCAATAGTCACTACCAAAGCGATGAATGTATTGACAGGGATATCTGACTGTACAGAAGTAGCAGACATATGGAGATGTGATTAATCACTGGCTTGTTGGCACAGGCGCAGATTCCCCCTCAATGCCAGTGAGTCCCGCTTGAGTAGGCAATCACACAGCAGATGTGTGGAGATTGTCATGGAGCCACTGAAGGCCTGCAGTTGGTTGAGCAATCGCAGATGCGATGCACTGGTTCTGTCAAGCTCCTCCACACCGACCGCAAAGAAATGTGCAGAGGATAGAATTAGCCGCTAAATTGATGACAAAGCAACCAAGAGATTGACAAAGCAGTGGTGTAACATCTATAATGAAAGTTATGCTTCATCAGCTGAGATGTTGGCCAATTCGGTGATCTGTAATCGGTGAGCGTCAGCTATGTTCATGTCATCAAACCACCACGGTTAGATGTTTTAGGAAGTGGAGCAGAAAACTAATGCTTTGACTTCTTTTTTGTTTCTGCTTAACACAACGTCCTCAGCCTTGAGATGTTTGACTGTTGACAAATGGGAAACTGACACAATTGAGGCTTGCCTAGTCACTAACCGTGTTACGCTAGTTTCCCATGTGAAACTCCATATCAATATCCCACCACTCATGCACTCTGATGCACAGACCTTCTAATGAAGTTCTTCGAGTGCTTTAGAAAGACACAGATAAGATATGAAAACCGCCATCCGCCTTGTTGCCTAACAAATTATATCACCCACGCGCTGTCACCTTCCATTCATTATTAGTGGCTGCTCGTCTTAGTCGCTTTCAGGCATATCCAGTCTGACTATACATAGTATATTCTGAACAAAAGAACTATTGTTGTCAAGAAAGCAGAAGTTCCAATCTCTCCTCGGATGCATTTTTAATAATTTATTTAAGCTTTTATTAGTTACATATTATCATAAATCTGTCTCCTATCTTATTGTTGAGGTTCACTGAGGTTCTGTCTTCATTACTCAAATATCCAAATATCCCAAAAATGATGGCATATATAAAACGGTCACATTCTATCCACAGAACTTTAATTTAATATGGACTGTGAGCTGTAAATTTAAGAACCACATTTAAGAGGTTTGTTGTTTTTAAATGTGTCTCAAGGCAAATGTAAGAGCATGCCTGTAATGTCTCTATATGAGATTGACAGAGAAAAAAAACGTAAAATATATTCTAGTAAGGTTTTATATATTCAACAGTGTTATTTTCATTAACTAAAACTGACAAACAAAACAAAACCAAAAAAATAACGAAAAAATGAAAATGTAAAAAATTACACTTATCTTAACTAGTCTAGTTACCATGGCAACATTTCTCATATGTGTTTAGCTTAAGCTGAAGTACTAAAATAAAACAATGCAAATTCTCTTTTTTATATCTTTCATAACTGTACAAAGTTTGGTTAAAAACAGCCTGAAACCTAACAACTGATTGGAGAATAAAAAAAATAAATCATTGTTTTTGTCTACACATGCCTTTTCATGTCTATTTATTTTTTTGAATAACAGTCCTGGCGTCCTCTACAAAGGACATAGAATAAAATATGAATAAAATGTTTTTTTTGTTTTTCAAAATGTTTTTCTCAATTTGTTTCTTATGCTCCAACCAATGTAATGTCATAAAAAACAGCAAAATTCACAAAACCTTTTTTATGGTTCTCAGGAGGATATATGTATATATATATATATATATATATATATATATATATATATATATATATATATGATGGAGTGTACAGCAGGCAAGAACAGATCTCATTGATGATTGCGTCTCTACATGCCCAATGATTGGATTCCATTTGTAGGCATAAACTTTGCTAAACAAAAAGCATTTAAATTTTATCTTATAACTGTTGGCAAGATAACAGTTGACTAAACTCCATGGCTCGTCACAACCTCATACTGATGATATAACACACCTTATTACAGTAGAAGTCCAAAATCTCCATTCATTATTTATTTAAAGTAATGCTTCTTAAACTTGTCACCCACATTTAATGAAATCTGGGTCATATTTGCTTTGCCCTTGAGGGATTTTGCTCACGGTTTTCAGAAGATGGTATATCATGCAACCTGCCCATGTTGTCATTATGCCTAATTTGACCTAGCAAAAAACAAACTGGGTAACATTTTATCCTACCTTGTTAATAAGCCTATTTGTTTTTCTATCATACTTGCACAATTTGCTTCATTTTATTATTTGCATTTAGTAGTTTTTTTCTCTCTTGATTGCAACCCTATCAGAACAAACATTAAGTAGCAACATACCGGTTGATAACCACTGATTTAATGTATTTACAGCTGTGAAACACAACAAATGTAAACGGCAGTGCATTGAATATGTGAAAATCTCATATAGCATTTTAATGTACCATAAATTTAAGCAATGATGCTCATTTCTATTTCACTTGTGTCGGCTATGCATGCTTGTACGTGAAAATACCCATTATGTCTGATTTAAAACTGACAGAGAGGCCTGTTGTACATCTCCTGTGCTATTTGCCTTGACTGATGTTAAGCATTTATTCTTAGGATTACAGAGTGAACATATTTCTCCGGCAGAAGTGGAACGACCCTCGGTTAGCTTACAGCGAGTACCCAGATGACTCCCTGGACCTGGATCCCTCAATGTTAGACTCCATTTGGAAGCCTGATCTGTTCTTTGCCAACGAGAAGGGAGCACACTTCCATGAGGTCACCACTGACAACAAGCTCTTGAGAATATTCAAGAATGGAAATGTCCTCTATTCAATCAGGTGAGACATCAGCACCAATCAAAATAGTTACTGTAAGCAGCCACTGAGAGTTAACACTGACTGACATTTGACATACATTTCAGTAGGTTTAGGGTCATGGTCTATGAAAACAGCTGCTGTACTAGCTCCTGAAAATGTCAATAATAATCCACCATCCTAGTAATCAAATGCCTCAGCTGATGCAGACTTGAGTCATTAGAGTCATGCTTTCAAACTCTAAAATGTAACTAACCCATCAACAAATGCCAGGATGAACACAGTGTTATAGGATAGTAGGAAAGTGCTGGAGTTAATAGTGAGGGGTAAATCATGTCAGGCTTTTGAAGAGATATGACGGAAAGCTGTGCAGATGTGAGACGACAGAGGATTCACTCTAACTGAAATCCACGTGGTGCCCTGAGGGAGAAGGAGTGTAATTAAAACATGGCCAATCTGCAGCTGTCAGACTTGTCTCTCCTATGCTTTAGTGGCCCCGTTCAGAAATCCCACCACTCAAGCAGCTTCAGATGCTCAAAGCCCTCCACTTTGATTCCCTTCTTTGTCTGAGTTGTGGATTTACACATTACTCATTCAGAGAATGTAGATGGAGTTCAATTTACATTTTTTTGCGCATACACATTTCCTTACCATGTTTTACACTTGGAAAAGCACATATTAGAAACAAGAGGTGTGTGTATAATTTTTAAAATCTATGCCCTTTTCCATTCAATTTTTAGACTGACTCTGACGCTCTCATGTCCGATGGATCTGAAGAATTTCCCCATGGATGTGCAGACGTGCATAATGCAGCTGGAGAGTTGTGAGTAATCTCGTATGACCTCTTCTCATCAAGAGCTTGTTACGTAACTCCCCCACCCCTCATTCAGATTTGTGGAAAGCAGACACTGTTTCTCATTTCATAATGTAACTTCAGCCGGTAGCCAGGATGAGGTAAATAGTGGATTTGATGTAAAGTGTGTTTGGCACTGGCATTCACCTGGCAGGGTCATACCAAATTATGTCATTGTGGATGAGCAGGGCCCTGAAGACATCCTTAAAATCATCATGGAGAAATTATATACCATCCTAGACAGTAACTTAAGGACACCTAGGCACAAAGTACTCTTTACAGACTAAGTGCCGAGTTCCTAGTTAAAGATTAGTGAAGCTAGTGGTCAAAGTGTTTGGCATATTATTCCAAGAGCTTTCTGTTGACTTGAAAACATGCCAAAGCTCAATCAAACTCCCCCATGACTATTGCTCTAAGCAGGGGTTGAGGCTTTTAAAGAAAAGCCCCATGTCATGGGGAATCTGTCTTCATAACTACATATTTTAGAGTGGCCATGTTCATGTCGTTAAGAGAGTTGCTCACTGAGAGGCTCTTGATGATAGACAACAATGTTAAATTGAAGAGAAAATCTCTATTGGAAATAGTTAGCTCATTCAGTAGAACAGAGTAGATAGAATAGAATGGTGACCCATACTTGGAATTAGTGCTCTGCATTTAACCCATCCAAAGTGCACACACACAGCAGTGAACACACACACCGTGAACACACACCCGGAGCAGCCATTTTTGCTGCGGCACTCGGGGAGCAGTTGGGGGTTCGGTGCCTTGCTTAAGGGCACCTCAGTCGTGGTATTGAAGGTGGGAGAGAGCGCTGTACATTCACTCCCCCCACCCACAATCCCTGCCGGTACGAGACCGGTATGGTCATACTTTAATTTCTAAGTCAACAATGGAGGGGGAAAAAACACAATAAGCTGTTTTCTTTTTACATATATGTGTATTTAAAAAAAATCACATCAGTGCCTTAGAATCTAAACTGTCAATCTGAAGCTGAATTCACTGTTCATTAGATGCCTCTGAAGCTATTGCTAATATTTATCTGAAATGTAGTAAATGGTTTTGTAATGTTCTAGCCTTCTGGGACAGCCCTCTCATTTGGCCTCAAATATATCTGCATTTTTATTAATAGACCTTAGATCTTAAATTAAGCCATCAGAATGGTTTAACTAAAGGAATATTTACTTCCTTAATCCTCTTCATCCCTTGTGAGGGCTAAAGGCCTTTGGGTTTATCCAAAAACTAAAAATTCTTCATACTCATGTTGTTTACAGAATGCAGAAGATATTTATGAAGATTCAGTGCATGCAAGTTTGGAATGACGTTGAATGCAAGTAATTAATGACAGAATATGTGAAAGATTAATTTAATGAAAGTGCAAGCTGTTGGAATATTTTCAGAATACGAAAAGGGCTAATTTTACAACATTAACCTCTCCATTATGATATAGTAATACTGAAAACAGCATGTAAAATCGAACAAAAAAAATGATCTTCGTCTTTCTCCTAGTTGGCTACACAATGAATGACCTGATCTTTGAGTGGCAAGAGAAGGATTCTGTACAGGTGGCCGAAGGTTTGACGCTCCCACAGTTCATCTTCAAGGATGATCCTGATTTAAGATACTGCACCAAGCACTACAACACAGGTAATTTTCAAAACATGCAATATAATACAATTTTAATAGCCTGATAGAAACTCCAAATGCTCAGCAACATCAATAATTTACATGATTCAGACTGAATAAGAAAATGTACTTTTACTTCACTATAATCCAGTGGTTCTCAACATCGGTCCTGGGTGCTCTGCAAATTTTGTATGTCTCTCTCATCGGACACACTTGCTCTCTCCTATTGAACTGATGATCTGAATCAAGTGCATTCAAATGAAGAAGACATAGAAAATGTGCAGAGAGGTGGGTCTCCAGGACCTGTGCTTAGAACCACTGGTCTATTCTACATGTAAATTTAATTTAGATTGTTTCATGCTTTCAGAAGCCATTAATTCACAGCACAAAACACATTGCATAGTTTCGTTCATGGTTTTTAAGGATGAGGGGATGTCACGCAACCTGTCCATGTTGCCATCTGGCTAATTTGGCTAGCTTCAACCATGTGACAGATGAATTTCCTCCAAAATGAAATACCGTAGAGTTCAACTGGATGTATAGTCTTTGACAAATTATATGAATAGTGTTTTCTCCTCTTATTGTGCTGTACTAAGCAAGCATGATTATACAGCATTATAGCATTTCATTATTTGCATTTATCATTGCTCTTCTCTACTGCCCTCAACTCTATCAGTCCAATCATGTGGCCCAATTTTTTATGGCCAGTTGAGAATCACTAATTTAGAAGAACAGAAGACCACTGCGAGGGAGGAGAAGAGAGAAAAAAAGAAATCCAGGAGAATGTTCTAGCAGTCTTGTTTTAATGGGATGCAAAGTAAAGGAACAGCTTTTATCAGATGATAATTGAAAAAGCTTGTTATCGCATCTCTATGTGTCTCAATTATGCATCCACAGTGCACACCTGGCCTTATCATGGTTGACATGTAAACATCAAGGGTGTGAGAGAGGAAAATATTTTCAGTGAGTGTTCAATGTCTGAGACTTACAGTAAAAAATAAAGTTATACAATGCCCAGAATGTTATGTAACACATTCGGCTTAGTAGCCTTGAAGTACACACACAAATTACATTTTTTTTTTAAAACTTCAAAACATGCATGATATCGGAAAACTGGTCAAAACACTGTCATAAGACTTCTGAGAATTACTGAGGAAAGATTTGGAAAAACAAACTAAATTGGGATGAGCTTTCTACATGCCTTCGGTCAAGAACCATGTCAGTGCATTGCAGAATTGTACATATACTGTGCACGTTATCATGGCAAATGAGTCCTTAAGAGACTAAGTTCTCATTAGCCTTGTCAGATGTAATTGAATTAATTGGTCAGTACTCTTTGCCTTCTTGCATTTGAAACCTGATATTATCAGTCATATCAGTAGTGCACATATCAGAAGTCATAGGCCACACAGTCCCTGGTGAAGAGGTGTGTGCTTTTGTCTCCCTGTGTGTTTTGCCTCAGAAGGACTTTCTGACAGGATGAAAGACAGATGCTGGTGGGTCAAGGTCAGGTTGCCTCAAATGATTGTCCACAGTGAATAAGGACAAAATGAGAGAGAGACCACCCGTAAAAGACTTGAGAGTCAGGAGAAATGGAAAACTGCAGGAGAAAAAGAATGAAAGAAATAGAGAGTGGGATGGGTGAAAATACTTAAGAGTCAAAGGTCTCTTTTTTGACAGGAAATCTCTTGGCAGTTGTGTTCAGGGCACTGTATGCTTCTATAGGGAGCTACATGTCAGTCACATTATTCCCTGGACTCCCTTCAAATTTTTAATTTAGTAATTGAATCAATATTGCCGCACAAAGGCATATTGACATTGATAGAGTTGAGAGATGAGCATCCAATTAAAATGTAAGACAATTGTAAAGCTCCTAGCTAATATCTGTAGCTTTAAAGGAATTCAGATTTATTTAGTTTATGGATAACATACTTTCTGTATGTATTCAACAGGGAGCAATAATATATTTTATATGCATATAGATTAAATAAGCCTCTTTTTTTCAAGAAGAAAAAAGAAAAAAACCTTTGCTTTATATAGGAGATGTGAGACTCACTCTGCAGGCAAAATTATATATATATATATATATAT